TACATGCTCTTAATGAGGTTCACCAACTTCTGTGGGATTCCGTGGTGTCTCAGTATCTTCCATAGTGTTGCTCGGTCTACACTGTCAAAAGCAAGCTATCGTAAAACCTTTATAAATTGAAAAAAGCCGGGCTTGATGAAAATGTAACTCATTCCTAGCAGGTCTGAACAACAAATATTTGAATCGTTTACAAGTCATTCAAAACAATGCTGCTAGATTGATAACAAGATCTTAAAAAAAAAACAACCCAGACCATGTGATGTCACATTTTTTACTTAAAATCTAGAATTCTAGATCTCTAGATCTAGATCTAGGTTCTAGAGATCTAGATCTAGATCTGGACTTTAGCTGAGTCCGTCTGTTCGGAATCGGATGCGAATTTCTCGTTCCAGGCCTTCCTATTCACTTGTTCTACTTGATCTAGATCTAGATATTAGGTGTGTCCCGCGCACTCATATGACCTTATAATTATATGCAGTTGCGAACACCGTAAAACACTTTACAATAACAAAACAAACAAAAACTCAACCAATAAAGCTATCCTCATATCGTTTTATCCAATGTGTTCGTTGTGTGATTTGTGTGTGAGTAACATGCTATGTATTAAATATATAGAGGCTATTCACACGTGTATATATGTGTGTGTGTGTGTGTCTCTCTCTCTCCCCCCCCCCCTCTCTCTCTGTGTCAATGTATTTTTGTGTGTGATTGTAAGTGTGGTGTGTGTAAAGATAGTATTAGTGGGTGGTTGGTGGGTGCTCTGGTGTGGTCTGCTCCTTCTCTCCTATTCAACATCTATCATCCTTATCTTTCTCTTCCTTCTTTTTGTGTTTGTTACTCTCTTGTAACAATAACACCTCTAATCTTCGGCATTTATATGAACTTATTGTGTTGGACGTACTAACTCTTACGAAAACAAAAGATAGTTTTATGTATGAAAAGGGCGCTCTGGCGGAAGCGTATGCGTGGTATCGAAGCTCGATCTACTTTTGCTTTCGTTACCACCCAGAAATTTGCCGGTAGCAATCTGATTAACGCAACACTTGTAACATACAGGTTGTGCATTACAAACGCTGTGTCACCATGAAAATAAATCATTGTCCTGGGACTATTGATTTTTTTAAAAAGAGTCGGGGGGAGGGGTGGGGTTGAAGACAACACCGGATGACAAAAACTGAACTTGGAAGCAAATTTGAGCATTTCGAATTTTGATTATTACTAGAGCTTCCTGCTACG